TGGAGCAATAATTATTTTTGGAGAGATGAGCATTAAAAAAAACCTTACTTTAAGGCCCGAAACGGCTCCTCCTAAAAAGTGTATAAAAAATGCTATAAATCCCTTCTTTTTAATCTACTTGATTATATAAAATATTTTTTAAAGCTTTAGACCCAATCATAAAGAAGATTTTTTTCCTTCTAGTTTTTTTGTGTATATGGACTTTTCTTGATAATTAATTTTAAATCAATTCATTATCTGTAGATGATGGTGAGGTGTATTTTAACTGCATGTGATCCACATTCTGTGCACTGGTTTCACATTTTTTTGCACCTTGGACACATGACACTGCCTCCTAGCAGGGATTCTTCCCCTGATCTTCCTTGGTCCTCAGAGGACTGCAAAATAGCAGCTAACACTTCCTCTACTGACAGGTTTCTCTTCTTGACCCGCCAGATAAAGCTACAAGCTACTCTTGCAGACTTCAAAATGTGCACCTGTGTAAACATGTTACACTGTTTCCACTTGGAGTAATGATGCTCTCTCTTGATCAAGAAAACAAACATAAACAAAGCCCATCTGGCCTTTGATGTGAGGCGACTGTGGCAGAGTGGTTAGGGGAGTWAACGGTTGCCGGTTCMGWTGCTGGAGKTTTACTACAATGTAGCTTACCACCAGTAATGATATGTGATTTTTTTAAATTTAATACAAGTTTTGTTATTTATCCGTTTATGCATTTGTGTGCCCCATGGCACATAGCTACAATGTAGCTTACCATCATCAGTGTGTGAATGAATGAATGAATGAATGAATGAATGAATGAATGAATGAATGAATGAATGAATGAATGAATGAATGATTGAATGAAGTGTGCTTCAGAGTCTGTAAGGTCTGGATCAAGTGCTAAATCATTTACCATTTGGTGATTCAAATTTCTCAAGTGCGCTCACATGCACACACACACAAAATATCTTGTCTACAACATTCACAACACTCTTTTTATATCATTGCCAACAAATCAAGTTTCTGAACAATTCAGATTTTTCACCTCCATGCATTTTGCAAGAAAAGAAAACCAGGCCTCCAATTAATCTCTATGCAATAAATGTCTGAGACCATTTTCCTTTTATTGGGGTGGGGTCATCCACCTAAAACCCGTTTTCCCTTTATTTTGAAGGCAGAGCCTTAGAGTTATTAGGTATTCATGAAAAAAGTATTATATTATATCAGGATTGCAGTGCCTCTAAAATACTCTATGTGGTTATAATGGGAGTCAATGGGACCAAAGGGTCAATGGGAAAGAGAGGATGCTCTGTGCAAATCTTCTATTCTACACACTTTACAATTCTAAAAATAATTWAAAAAAACTAATCGTGGCCAAATCTCATGAAATTCATCTTTAAACTGACTGATTTATTTAGAATCAAAAATATGAAATTTGTAGAATGTATATGTTTGGTACCCTAATGTGCCACGAGGGTTAAAGGTGAACGGACCCCCAGGCATTTACGTGCTCAAACATAGGTGTTTATATGAGTTTACCTGCAGGTGTGTGCGAAGGAAGGTCTTCCTCTTTGTGAACTCGTAGTTGTTCCTCATGAGCAGGTAAAGCAGCGCCGACGCCTCGGCCCTCAGGGAGCCCAGCTTGGACACACAGCATTTGAGCACCTCGCAGCACAGATCCTCGCACAGGGTCACACGGCCCTTGAAGAGCACCGATGGGAACTGGTGGGACAGCGTGTTAGTGGATTACAAGCAGAGTCTGGACAAGGCTGGGATTAGGAATTGTAGTGGATGTGGAAGAGACAGCAGAAAAACAGCCATGACTGTTAGAAATCAGACAGGACTATCGCATGTGATTGTTGACACTTTACTACATCAAAGCAAAAAATACAAAAAAAGATCCAACAATGAGGACGGTTTACAGCAGAGGCGATTGCTCTAAGACTGCAAGGGAAGTTCAGCTTCCACTAAAATGTAAAAAAAAAAAAAGTGATCAAATATACACTGTTGTGTGTTCATGTCATTAACTAAATATGCGCTATAACGTGCTCAACTTTTGTTCAGAATCAGCTTCTTATCACTGGTAACAACGCGGCTTTCCTCATTTCACTCATTACCGCAGCTTCACAGTGCTTTAAAGAGTAACTTACCCCAAAATTAACTTTTTTAGCTGATAAACTGTCTAGAATGTGTCTAAAATGTTATATAGTACATGATGATTGGATTATTTGTCTGAGCMTGAATCCCTTTTTGATTGACAGCGAAATGAGCGATTCAGAGATCTTTTGGTATGGGAGCAGTTTTTTGTTTCATTTCTGTTCCGAGCTGAACCCGGAGACTTTCCTAATCCTCTTAGCGGCGTTTTCTTTGTTCAAAACAACTAGCAACAAATAGAGTTTTTATTTCTGGTGGGTTTTATTGTATCTGCTTGTGTTTGGAGACAGACTTCTATCACTCTTTCTGAGGTTTATCACAGTTTCTGACCGGCGGGTGTTGCTGAGACCCTCCACCGTCACAAAGCACTCAAAGGCGTACACACTTCACTCTAGCCT